ACTTTAGCCCTTAGGCTCTGGGAGCGACTCGTAGTCCACTTTCCTTGATTTTTTGTTTTGCCCATGCCAAAGAAGCGACTGAGTCTTATGTGGTGCCGAGGTCTTTTATCAGCTCGACACCTTAGAGCTACGGCTGCGTTGCACCAGCCTCGTTAGTGATGTCGGTTACCCACTCCTACAAGAAGCTGCTAGGAGCTTGACCTACGGGGGCAGCACTACTGACTTTAGGTGACCAGCTCGCACGGGAGCCTTGGAAGGCTCGATTGGCAAGGGTGTCCATGCAGTCTGTTGGCCGCCTACTCCCGCGGAAGCCACGAAGAGCTCATCTTTGTAAGGGTACCTCGCGAAGAGGACTGATGAGGCTTTATCCGAGTTGAAATAAAGTTGGTAGAGCTGCTTAATCTGTTGGCCATCAACTTCCTGCATAGTCTTTGAATTCATAAAAAATGGAATCTAGAAAGTGAGAGTTTTTAGTTTCTAAAAGGTGAGAACTTAGCTTTCTAGAAGAAGATGACTTAACCTTTCAGAGGATGAGAAATTAGCTTTTTGTAGCGTTTCCCCGGCGCCAATTGATGAATCAATTTTTGGCTAACCCGGCGAGGTCGCTCCAATGCTTAAGTCAGTTCATAAAAAATGGAAACTAGAATATGCTTACTTGCCCCCCTATGCCATTGGGGTTGGTGCCTTTATATAGGCATTGTTTGGTGTGGACTTCACACACTGCATCCAAGATTTCCGAGAAGTCGTCTAAGTGGTTTGAGTTTCCCTGAGGCAACCACCATGCACGTTAACCACCCTCCAGATCGTTCGGCATGTGGGCCAATTTCTAAGGATCGTGGGAGTGTTAGGATATGCATGCCGAATTTGTTGGCGAGCATGTCTCGCAGGTCGCTAGGTCGGTGCTTGTGCCAGGCCGCCAAGTTGACGCCTGTGCCTGGCCGCCAAGTTGACGCTTGTGCCTGGCCACCGGTTCGGTGCCAGGGCCAGGCCGCCGGTTCGGCACCAGGGCCAGGCCGCCAGGTC